TAGAACTTTTAACTAACTGACTGAGATTGTATTACGCCCTGAAGGAGGATAATATATATATATAATACATAAGCTTTTCCCAAAACACAGATGTAGTTTTAGATAGCAGAGGATAGTCACACATAAACTTAAACCGTAATATTGTTATGATGTCAATAAAAACTGAAAAGAAAAATGTGTAAAAATTGCAAAAAGTGTGATATTTTATAAGATAAAGTCAATGGAGGAATTTTTCTTGTGAACGTTCATTGCGAGACTTTTTACTCTGTGCCATATTTTTAAAAATTTCAATAGAATTTTGCTATATTTTCATATTTTATGAATAATGTGTCACGAATTAGACGACTTCATATCAACGCCACGCTATTTACATATGAAATGATAATATGTTTAAGTGTTATATTAAAGTATAGTACGTATTTATGCTGTCCATTTTACGTGTAAATATTAACCCATAAAACAAACAACTATGTAGTATAATTTAAAATATTATATTAGTCATTTTACGATTCTATTTCCCATGGGCTCATATATAATTTTATCAACTTCAGGGTAGTTCTTCGCAGAGATTATACTTTTGCATAGGTCACAGAGTAATAAAAATACAATTTTGATAAACAATAAAATGTCGCTAACGGGGGTGAACGTCGATGTTAGTCTTTTTTGTTTGACCTCATGTACTAACAGTATCAGCATGGTTACTCGATTCACTTATCGGCTTGATCTAGTTTTAGAAATATTATTTATTTTTATTATTTTGTTAGATATCAAAAAATATATAAAGAACCCAGGACATCGGATTAAAGTAAATAGGTTTTGATCAAAAATGCATTATACCGCATACTTCTAATCATTAAAACGATANTAGGTTTTGATCAAAAATGCATTATACCGCATACTTCTAATCATTAAAACGATAATAAAAGTCATAAAAGGTGTCCGGTATCTTATTTTTTATGACTCAAAGACAAATGTAATTTCTTAAAAGCTGAATAACAAATTAAAAAGTTTATTTTTTTTTTTTTGACAGTCCCAGAAAACTAATTTTAAAATTTATTGTTTTAATTGATACAGTGATATTTGTAAATTATTAAAACATGTTTTAAAATATTAAAAAAACTACTGTCATGGAAGTAATATTGACGAATTAACAATTTCAATTAAGTCAAATGTAGTTTAAATAGCTGCTCGCTATTCACAGTTGTAATAATTAAACGTAATCTACCATTGAACGTCATATTTAAAGGGTTTTAAGTAAATTAAATAAAAGTTGAAATATTTTTTATTATTTCATCCGTAACAAAATGATTTTCAAAAATTTGTTTTAAAAATAAAAAATAAAATCACATTTAACACTTATTATTACACATCTGATTATTTACCGTCAAAGCAAGTTTAATTATAAATGATTTACCAACAATGTATAATCTTTTTGGTTTTTTTCTTTTTTTTTAATTTAACAAAAAAACTGAAAGCTCGAGGCAAATTAAAATCCGGCTTTTCAAACAGCAGTAACGTTTCAGTTCAACAAAAATGCTGAGGTTAATGTATTTTTTTATTTAATGCGTCACAATATGCTTGAATTGATTTTGATTCTTATCCGTTAAAAGTAATGTAAATAAATAAATAATAAAAGGTGAAAAATAAACAAATAAAAGATATTTGCCAACTTTTTCACTAAAACTGTATTAATTGTATCATTTCTAAAAATGGACAAGTACACCAAAGTGATTCCTCCGTTTGTCATTTTTAATGCTATTACGTAGTGAAATAAACTTAAAAACTTCATATTCAAAAATCTAAGTTCTTATGACAATCAATAAAAATTGAATATTATTTAACAATCACGACAGTGTTACAGTTGTACTATGTTACTATTGTATATGATGCTTAATAANTACTATAGTACTATTGTATAAGATGCTTAATATGATGTAAGAGACGATTTGATAATTGTTAAATTATCTCACCCAATTTGAACAAAATATTAAAAGTATCTTACTTCTCCCCTTCTTAATAATACTTCTATATAAATTTACATGTAACTTTCATAGATAATGGTGGGCTTTAATAGGATTTGATGGCTTATGTCCCCTCTAGACCTTTTAAATTATAACTATGTTGAGAAAGCTCATAAATATTGAATATTACCAGAAAAATTTTACTTTTCAAAAGTTTTTGTTAAAATTGACATCACTACTATTGCATTAACCATATGCAAAANATTGACATCACTACTATTGCATTAACCATATGCAAAAGAATATCATGATTCAATCCATGAAAAAAAAAAAAGAATGAGTAAATTGCTCGCTCTTTTCCTAGAAGTAAATTGGTAAAAGTTTTTACCATTTGGCAGTGCAGTAAAATGATATTTCCTTATCAAGATTATTACAACTCAAATTGTAATAATCTTAAAAAACGTGATATTTTTATATAAACTTAAGAAATCTTTTGTTTTTTAAATGAATACGTTTGATAGCTTTACCACACGTTAAGGAAAACAACATTTTTTAATATTCGTATTAATCTCATGGTTAAGTTTTTTTTTGTCAAAAGAAACTTTAATAATCTTATTTAATTTGGTTTTATTTAATTATGCTTTTCTTTTTCTGACACACGCAATTAACTTTATATGAAATTAAAAAAAAACTGTAACAACTGTAATTCATTCTACGTTTACTTAGTATGGTTATATTAATTGGTTGTTTATCATCGTTTAGACATATTGAAAGTGTATATCTTTTTACAATTATATTTAATCCATTTTTTACATTCTCGAAAAATTGAGCTGTTAACGTACTATTGAAATGGAAATATTTTTAGTTGTTAAAAACCAAGTTATAGTTAAAATATATTAATAATATAATGAATTATAATTATAACTCTTTTTTTTTTTATGGTTATAAAAATTAAAAAAAAAAATAGCATTGTAGGGACGCGGCATAGTTGAAACAAGTATAGATAACATTTTCTACTATAGTAGAATAATTTTGGGATGATTTTTTTTATATTATAGTACACTTTTAAAGGTTTAATTCAATTTAGATTTAAAGAGAGCATATTTCCCAAAACACTTTCAAAAATTGAGTTAAAATTTTGTTTTTTTTATACATGAATAGTCTTCTTTAAACTCTTCTTGTACCGAAGTTTTTTATTGAATATTCACAAAAGCATACTAAAAAAAACCCAGCACAATGGGGTCGCGGCACAATGGGGACGTGCCATAGTTGGGTTAAGTATAATGATATCTGACAGTGATTAAAATCACTATAAAAAAAAAAACGCTTCGATGCAAATCTGTAGTTAATGTTTAATTTTAAAAAATTGGTGGATTATTCCAAAAGCTACATGATCTCCTGTTTCCTTATTTATCTCTTGATTACAAATTTTATGATTTATAAGTGTAATATATGAATAAATATATATATTAATAATATTAAATATACAAAGGGAAATGGTGTTATTTGAAAAAATAGTATGTCGAATGAAAGAGGGATATAAATATTATTTCTCATAAAAAAATTGTATTGATCCATACACTTTTCAATAAGTTATAGCATTATAAAGTTAAAAATATTAAAAAGAATTTTTTTATAAAAATCGTATTTTTTTTTATTAACTTTGATGTCTGTTTTCAATGTGAAGACAAAATAAAGTCCGAATGTTTTTTTTTTCACAATAAAGTATATTACATTAGCTTTAATTTAAGATATATATAAAAGTTTCAGACTTTCCGGAACATTTTTAAAAGTTAAGTTGACAAAACTCTACTTATTATATGCATTTTTTGATAGGACCCCGCCGTTTATAGATAAATGGTTCGATTTAAAAAAAAAAGTATGTCGAAAGAAGGATGCATATAAATACTACTTTTAATGAAAAAATAAAGTATATTACATTAGCTTTAATTTAAGATATATATAAAATTGTTAGATTTTCCGGAACACTTTTAAAAATTAATTTGAAATATATATTTTTTTGTGAAAAAGTTGTCGTTTTAAATCCCCCCTATGGGCAGGTTAAGTGTTAGAATTATAAAAAAATTATATTGATTTGTTTATTTTTAAAAAAGGTATGACAGTTTTAAGTAAAAAAAAATTGAAAAAATTTCGATAATAATTATTTTCGCTAATTATTAGCGATTTTTAAATTTGTAATTTTTTTAGAGATTTACCCTATTTAAGGGGAACGAGGGAAATTTTTTCAATTTTTGAGGGTAATGCCTTCGACTAGATACAATTTGTGATCTTTTAACGTATCGTTAAAAGAAATCGGTTCGGTGAGAGCTGAGAAAAAGTGGTAACAGACAAAAAAAAAAATAAATAAAAAATAAAACACATCATAGTAAAACTAACACCTTCTCTTATTGATGACAATATCTTCAACTAAATTGAAATTAAGTTTTATTGACGTATTAATAATTAAAACAGATTTAGTGAGAACTGAGATTATTAATTAATAACATAAAAAAAACATCATAGTAAAACTAATTCCTTTTTAGCTTCTCATCAAAGCTAATATGACGCAAATTCTGATGAAAATCATTATTTTTAGTATTAAATTAATATATTAATGCCTATTTACTACAAATGATAAAATTTCGATTAAAATAGTGGTGTTAAAAAATTTCTTATCTATGATATTTTGTTTATGACTTGTGTTCATAAAGAAGTTTCGGAAAATGTGACCAAAGGTAAAATTTTTGTCAAATAATATTCATGTATAATTCCCTAACAATCTATTATTTTATTATTCTCCAAAATTTCCTTAAATGATTTCTAAATTCAGTCTCAAAGATAACTTTTTATTAAGTTAATACTTCACGAAAATATAGACTTCCCGTGAATTTTACATGTATGAACATCTTGAAAGCTGAAAATTTAATTTAAAATTACAACTTAAAGTTTCATATTACACTTTTTTATTTCGTAAAATTATATGTTTATGTAAATCTTGAAAAAGTATAATTTTTTAAATAAAATTTCTTTATTTTTTAGGGTGATCTCGTGTGGTTTGATCCTGGTGTCGGTCATGTTCTACCAGGTGAAGTACTTGAGTACCATAGACCAGCACAAGTACTCACTGTACAAGCTGTTATCGCGGGAAAAGTAAGATTAGTATACTATTGTCATCAATTCAAAGTTTTAATTGTTTATTAAAATGTTTTATAATTATCTAGACACAAATTTTTTCGCTTACCAGTGCTACTGGTGTACATAGACGTCAAGATTTGGGACAAAATGGAATCGAAGATATGATACAACTCAAGTATGTATTTTTTTAAATTCATTTATTTTTCTCAAAAATCTTTATTATTAAATATGAATTTACAGCGACCTTAATGAAGCTTCACTACTGTGGAATTTAAAAATTCGTTATGATAAAGAGCTTATATATGTGAGTATTTTAAACCATCTCTGTTACTCTTATATTTTTATTAAGATAATAAAAATACTTAGAAACCTATGATTAAACCGTTAAACAACAGTTAAACGATTATAACCACGGATTATAGCATTACAAAAATTAATTCTTTCTTTGAGGATATTATACATTTAAATAACCATATCCTATGTTTTTTTTTTTTTTTTCATGAAATTTATCAATGCATATAATTAATATTAAACTGTTTTGTTGTTATTGCTATTATTTTTGTTTTTTAGACATATACTGGAAGTATATTAGTAGCTGTGAATCCATATAAAATGTATGATATGTATGGATTGGACATGGTGAAAAAATACGAGGGTCAAATTCTCGGAACATTATCACCGTAAGTGCACTTGTCCACTAAATTTCCATTTAATCTATTTGCCACAGAATGGAAATAACTCTTCAGATTTTTTGTCACTGTTCTTAAATAACTATTTTTCAAACTCGTCTAAACATAATAAATTACAATTCCATTTTGACGGATCATTTTTTTTTTTTACTTACAGTCATTTATTCGCCGTTGGTTCTGCGGCTTACGGGATGCTTTCAAGAGGCAATCAAGTAGTTGTCATATCGGGAGAATCGGGTTCTGGTAAGACAGAATCTACCAAACTGATTATGCAATATTTAGCTGCTGTCAATAAATCGTCATCAAACCTTATAACTGAGCAAATATTAGAAGCTTCTCCCTTACTAGAAAGTTTTGGTAATGCTAAAACTGTAAGGAATGACAATTCGTCTAGATTCGGAAAGTTTTTAGAAGTACACTTTAAACAGTAAGTTTATGTACAAAAATCAATTGGCTATTAACTATTTTTTAATAAAGAGGTATAAATTTTGGATTAGACACTAATATTTTTAATAAGTTTTGAAAAAATTTAATTTGTGTAAAAAGAAAAATTATTTTATTTAAAATACTACAATATTATGTAGTATGATGGTGTCACGTTTTCATTATTGTGAGAATTTATTATAATAAAATATAGACAGCACATCCGCTTAATGAGACTGATGAATTAACAATTAATATTTATTGCTAAATTGGCAATAGTCCAAATTATTATAAAACCCAAAAGACCTGGCCATCTTGGCCAGTCGACCCAGTGCTTTGTGTCATTCATCAATCTCAGTACTCGGTTGTTACTGTCCGGCTTACTGTATAAAGTCAAGTCTTTGTTTTTCCTTTTTTAACCTATCTACTCTCGTCCTCTACGTTTCAGAGTACTTGTATCTGGAACTTCGTCTGTACCTCATACTCGGCTACCCCTGTTTTTGTCCTCTCCTATACCCAAAGTATTTGTGTCTTGCACTTCGTCTGCACCTCATACCTAGGTGTTACCCTTATCCCCTTCCTATAACAACAGCCTTTCGACATCCACAGCTAACACGGATTTAAAAATTTAAATCTCATTTGAAAAAATTAATGTTAACATTTTTAAATTTTTAATTGATGGAAATTTATTATTTGGCTACATAATATTATAGTTTTTTGAACTAAATCATTTTTATTTGAACAAAAATTAAATATTTTCAATAATTTCCGAGAAAATGAATATTATACTCAAAATTAAACACATTGTATGTGAAAAATTGTACTACCATTGTTTACAATCAAACATCATATATTATGTCTTACATAAATCGATTTTTATTTATTTCTAATTTTTTTCTTACATATGTTTTAGAGGAATCATCTTAGGTGCCAAAGTAACTGAATATCTTTTAGAAAAATCTAGGATAGTAACACAAGCCCCTGAAGAACGGAACTATCATGTGTTTTATGAACTATTAGCGGGCTTGGCAGAAGAAGATAAACTTAAGTATGGCTTATTGTCAGCTGACAAATATTTTTATTTAAATCAAGGAGGAAATTGTGAAATCGATGGAAAATATGATGCAGAAGATTTTCAGTCACTTATGTCAGCTATGCAAGTTTTAGGATTCACATCAGAAGAGCAAGACACTATATTTCGTATTCTAGCATCTGGTAATATTATTTATAAAATACTCAACTAAGTCAAATACTTAAATTATAATGTTATTTAACATCAGTTATAACTTTATAAAATTATGACTTATATTATGGCAATCCCTAGAATTATGAAATTTTATATATAAACATTGAAATAATTATAACTGCAGAATGACTTCATTATTTTTATTTTAATGTTGAATATTTTTTCTAATCATTCTCGCAAGTTCTTTTTAATTGTATATTATATTTATTTTCAACTAATTGAAAACCTTAAAAAGCTATTATTTAAAAAATAAATTTTAAAATTACTTTAAAAGTTAGTATAATGTAACAATACAATTATTAGATCAATTTTTTGTAACATATTATTGTAGTAAAGAAATTTCATAACAAAATTCATTATTTAATTTAAAAAAAATACTTTTTATTAAATAGTTTTACATTTGGGAAACGTTTACTTTCATCGTAAACAGTTAAAACATGGACAAGAAGGAGTAGAAATTGGTTCTGATGCGGAAATCCGCTGGACGGGTCATTTATTACGATTGGACGTAGAAGGCATTAAAGAAGCTTTGACCACTAAAACCACGGTTTGTGTAATTATTCTGCATTCAGTTAATAACGATTTTTACTATCGCAATGTTACAGGAGGCACGCAATGAGCGAGTTCTCACAGCATTAAACATTGATCAAGCATTAGATGCTAGAGATGCGTTTGCAAAGGCATTGTATAGTTCTCTATTTACTTGGCTTGTTGCAAGGATTAATCATATCGTTTTTAAAGGAACTAAAAAAACAACAGCTATATCGATTCTTGATATTTTTGGTTTCGAAGACTTTAAGGTAATAATTTAATTGGTTATAGTACTATATAATTCTATGATAATTAAAAAAAACATTGTTAATATAGGAAAATAGTTTTGAACAATTGTGTATTAATTACGCTAATGAAAATTTACAAGTTTACTTTAATAAGCATATATTTAAATTGGAACAACAAGAATATGCAAAAGAAAAAATTCATTGGCAGAATATTTCTTACAACGTAATTTTATTTTTTGCACACTAAACTCGCAAAATATATTACATTATTTCTATTTTCTAGGATAACTTGCCAGTTATTCAATTATTATCTAAGAAGCCTGTTGGGATTTTACATCTATTAGATGACGAATCTAATTTCCCTAGAGCAACAGACTTATCATTTTTAGAAAAATGTCATTATAATCACGCTTTAAATGAGTTATACTCCAGGCCAAGATTGAATGGACCGGAATTTGGAGTGCGTCATTATGCGGGTCCTGTATGGTATAATGTTGATGGATTTTTAGATAAAAATCGTGATACTTTACGTCCAGATGTTGTACAATTATTAATTTCAAGTTCTTTACCCGTACGTTTTCAAAATACTAAGTTCATTTGCTTCATATGTTTTAAACAAAATTAATATTTCAGATGTTGAGTAAAATGTTTAGTTCTTTAAGAAATTCTTTTGAAGCTTCAAAGACATTAAATAAAGCAAATGGAAGATTTGTCACCATGAAACCTAGAACACCTACGGTTGCTGCTAGGTTCCACGATTCATTACAACAATTGCTTGAATCAATATCGGGGTTCGTTTTAAATTTATCTAATTCTCTTGCACACTGATCATGAGAAAATAAATTATCAAAATTATTTTAGGTGCCATCCATGGTTTGTGCGTTGCATTAAACCAAATTGCGAAAAGGTTTCAATGAAATTCGATATGCCCACAGTTTTAGAACAACTTCGTTATTCGGGAATGTTGGAAACGATTAAAATTCGTAAATTAGGTTATCCAGTTCGTATGAAATTTAGCGAATTTGTAGTTAGATATCGAGTACTGGTTCGCAAGCGGAAATTACCACCAAAGGGTTCTCCTAACAGGTACATAATTATATTTGAAAGTCATGATGCTAAATGAAATAAATATCAATGTATTATTATAGAGAAATTTGTCAAACAATACTAGAAAAGCATGCCGACGAGTATCAACTTGGTACTACACGTGTATTTTTACGTGAAAATCTTGAGCGTTATTTAGAACGTGAAAGAGCTGCCATATTAAATACGGCAGCTATTACACTTCAACGCAATGTAAGAGGATTTTTAGCAAGAACTAGATATACCATAAAACGACAAAGTGCTATAAAAGTACAATCAACAGTTCGGGGGTGGATTGAAAGAAAACGATATGAAACTTTGAAAAGAGGCATAATTAAAGCCCAAGCGACATTTAGAGGACGGCGCCAGAGAAAAAGATACAACCAATTGAAGGTTTAATTGAATGTTTTAAAATATTAAATAAACAGTGACATTTTTTCATAATGACAATATTTTAAATAGGAGGAAATGAAAAAAAAAGCTGATTTGGCCAAAGAGCGAACGAGATCTAGAGTACAAAAAGAAGAACAAGAAAAAAATTCTAGACCTAATGTAATTACAAATCTCAATACATTAGATATTCCGGCAGAACTTGCAGTTATTTTCAATAAAATTGACGGTACACCAATAATATATTTGTTTAAAGAATTAGGATTTAAATCTTAAAATGAAAAAAATTCGCTTCGATATTTAAAAATACCTACTAAGATATTGTTAATGAAAATTAAAGCATACTATTTAATACAGTGTAATCTTTATTTATTTATTGACGATTTATTATTTAATATCTTATTATTAGTATTAAAAATTAGCTTAAAATCTTATAACATAGTTTATGTTAATTTTTGTATCATTAAAAACTTGTTTGTAGTGTTATTAATAAATAGCTTTTAATAATATAGAGTGGCAGATGACCCATAATGAAAGACAATTAATAAAAGTAGTTGGAACTATTGTGGAAATACCAGAGCAATATACATTACCATCAGATATTGATCAACATGCTTTTTCTAAGTTCACAAACATATATTTCAAAGTAAATGTATAGTAAAGTGTTTTACTTACTAAAATTAACCAATTTTTTCTTTATTTAGTCACATGTATGGGGAATGAAAAGAGAACCAATAAAAACTCCATTTCTTCACAAAAGTAAAGATGCAGACTACATAGATTCAATTGCTATCTTCAAATTAATCCTTCGATTTATGAATGACGAATCGTTATCACCTAAAAAAGAACAGGCTTTAGCAGACTATATTATTCACAAAGTATTAATTTGTTTATTTAGAAAATTATTAACTTCTGTATTAATGTTCTTAACTCGTTGTTCTCAAAGGGTCTCACGAATGAAAGACTTAGGGACGAAATTCTGTGCCAATTAGTGAATCAAACATGGCGTAATGACATAGAAACAAATAATGAAAGAGGATGGTTATTGATGGCTAGTTGTTTATCAGCATTTCCTCCTACGGGACCTTTATATAAATATTTATTAAAGTGCATATATTTTCATTATTCATTCCTCAAATGAAAACAAAAATTAATCAATTTACTAATTACTGATTATAAATTATTAGATATGTGTCGGATCATGGATATGATGGCTATAAGAGTATTTGTCAAAGAAAACTGTTGTCTGGGCATACATGCACGCCTCCAGCAAGATCTTCACCCCCATGTCTTCTTGAATGGAGAGCGAATCGTAAGAGATTTAATACTGCATTAGAGTTTTCAATGCCTGATGGGGAAACAATGACCGCTGGAGTGGAATCATGGACTAGGTGCCATACTGTAGCTTCAGCTCTACTTTCAGAGAGAGGAATAGCGGAATGTAATGGTTGGACTATTGCGCTTGATAATGACCAAAGAAACGGATTTGATTATGTATTTGATGCTATATCAGAAGTAGAAATGCCTCCAGGTTTTCCTGGTAAACCAGCTCATGTTTCATTTCAACCTTCTCCAATTATACCAATTTCAAAGGTTATTAATTTAAATATTTTAACTAAATTATGTCACTCAGCTGCAAATAAGATATAATTCAAAAATTGTTTATATTATTTTTTCTTAATTAGCAAACAAATTATCAAGAAAAAATAAAATTTAAAACGTTTTTGTTATACTTTATTTTACAATTAAGTGACATAGAAATAGCTTAGATAATAGTTAATTAACATAATCACTGCAGTCATTTTTGCAACTAAAATGAAAAACATTATACTCTTAAATAGGTTGAGTCAGTTTCTGTTAATCGTAGACCTACTGTTCCTCCACCACAACCACCAGTACCAAAATCTGTAAGTTAATCAACTGAATGATCATGTATTTGATTTTAAATAAGTTTTAATTATATATAAATTCCAGCAAAAAGTTCGATCAGTATCACGAGATCATAGTGCCGAAATTGGACTTTCACGTAAATCCGCACTAAATGACCGATATTTTGAAAAATCTAGTCGATCAAGAAGCCTTGATAACTTGATATCGCCTGTATGGTCAATTGTATAACTTTTTTAGTAATTAAATTATAATTAAATATTTATATAAATATTGATGCAGATACCACAAGCTAGTACCCCTAAAAAACTAGATTCTTTGGGTTTATCACACAGTAAACTTAATGAACGGTACATGTCAATGGAACGAATTCAAGAAGCTGAGAAAGATTCTGACAGTGATGATGATGATGATGATATCGTGAAATTGGTTGATGATGATAACTTAGAATCTGTCAGTCAAAGGGGTGATACACGGCATTACAATGGGTAGAAATTAGTATAATCAACATAACAAAACATTAAAATTTGTGACACTTTTAAAATTTTTTATAGTGCATCGTCGGATGTCATGTCTCACAGTCAAATCGACTTTGAATATCCCGATATAAATGCAAGAATGGAAGATGATAAAGGATCATATATAAAAGGAAATCCGAGGTATAGACTTTGACAGTTTTTTAATCATATTAATGGTTATACTAACAAAGTTTAATTTGAAATGAATAGTATTGAATTTATTTAAAAATAGTAAACTATAATAATTTCTAAATTCTCTTAAACTTTGTTAATTCAACACTTTAATTAATTAAAAAATCAACTAAAAATTTAATTAGTCATAATTTCTCCTTTTTCTTCGCCTTAATACCAACTGCTATAAGGGCCACCCTTATCCTAAACTTCCACTTGACATTATCTCCCACATCATCTACGCTCACATCAGCTGTATTCGTATCGCATTCATTTATTATTTTCAATTATTTTATTATAGTATTTAACTGTGAATTTTTACATTAGATTTATAAAATCACAATATGCTGGAAAACGTGGTTCACATTCTATAAAATCACAAATGGACAAATCTGAGGCAAGAAGCTGCGCTATGTCTGACACAAGTGAAGCACCATCATTAGGTAAGCTCTTCTACTGTAAATAATCTTTAAGAATCTTAAGAATAATCCATAAAATATCAGCAATTTCAATGGGAATGTGACTATATGATTAATTCCATGAGAAAAATTTAGAACACAAATTTATTTGAGAAGTTCTTAAGTATAATTTGTTTTTTGAACTACAATTTAAGCTATTTTTATACGAAAATTAAATATGAAATAATTAGTTTCTTGAAATAACATTACTTTAATATTTTTGCGTGAGTAAAAATTCCCACCACATACATAACATAAGTTAGTGAGATTTTGTGGGAACTTCAGTAAGGTATATTAATTTGAAGTAGTATGATCAACAAACGCGAGTAGTTTACAAAATTTATAAAATGTTACTGAGATGACTATGGACCAAAAGTCATCTGTATACTTATTCCATTTTACTATTGACCCCCTTTAAATTTTATTCATTTTAATAATAATATGTGTTAATATATTTTCATTTTACTGATTTTAAAATAATACTTTTTGCTTATAAAACTTATCGTGCCCGACTTAATCGGAATCTGTGATCTACCCGTAAGGACGTTCCAAAGGTCCTATTGTAGAGCCTCAGTTAGTCGGAGCGTAGTTCTGAGTATTAAAACTTTTATATTTTTAATATAGCCTCTCATGTCAGACGCGTACGTGTACCATCTCAAGCATCAGATGTGGATCAATTTTTAGATGATTTATTCAATCCAGTATTAGATCAACTTTCTGACGCTAGATCATTAGCCGCTTCAATTAAAGGTTCAATAAGATGTAAATCGTATGAAGCCATCGATGACGAATCATTAGATCCTTGTGAATTTTCTACATCTATTAAAGGAGAAAATCGTTGTGTTGATGGAGTATTAGGATCAAATCATAATGCTCATGTAGATTTTGACGTCAAATTACTCGCTAAAACTATCAAGGGTGGTGGTCGAGGAGTTACATCTCAGCAGGTAAATAATTAAACTGCATGCATGAAATTTATCACTTGATTATTACTAAATACAATTGCTTTACAGAACGGTTCTAGTCAATCTGGGAACACTTCATTTGGCATGTCCCCTCTGATTGGTTCACCATCGGTTATGCCCATTCTCTCTCCACCATCGTTACTAATGCCTACTATGAATCCACAAATGTTTAACTCTCCGAATAGTGAGTACATCCGCCGTTTTTATGTTAAAACAATAATAATACAGTTATAAAACAACGGATGAGAGCGTTCACATGATACAATGCGCGCTCCAATTTTCCTAGTTCATTTACTACCGCGTTTCGCCAGTCATTGGCCTGTCGTCACTAGTGCCGACATTACAGAAGCAACTTTTAGTGAACGTTTTAAATGACGTTCGATTTTACATTATTCACAGGTCTCAGCGTACCAGCTAACACGTCAAACACTACCAACGGGTCCAGTGACAGTATGTTAGCTTATCAGGCAAATCTTCACCAAGCGTTCTTACAGTCCGCTATGGCACAAAACATACAAATACAGCAACAAATATTAGCACAAAATCAGGCTCTACATCAGTTATTGCAACAGCAGCAACTTTTGCCACCGGTAGGGCTTTGCTTCTAAATTAATATTTTGAATACCAATAAGGACACATTTTTTTTCTTAAGATTTAGATACTTTAAATGTCATGAATGTGCTTTGTATTCAAAGATAACTTACAACATTAAAAACTAAAAAAATGTATAAATATTAAGTTTGAAATAAATAATTATCTCGACAAATATTTAAATAACATATGCAATTAATTATTTTGACTATATAAAATTGTATACAATTATTGAAATAAAAATTATGTGTATGATTTACATATAAAAGAACTTTAGAAATTTATAACTTCAAAAACAATACGGAAACGTAACAATGAATATTCTTGTTCCGCTTTCCGTTTCACTTTTGTCTAAAACCAAAATTGAAAACTTAACGGAAACGACAAATTAATTTACAGCTAACAGTTTTTTGATTACTATACTTACTTTATATTGAATGAGTTGATAATATTTGCATGCGTTCATGATTAATTATGTAGCACACATGTTATTGTTGCCAGTTGTATTGATCAATAATAAAAAGTATATTAATGGTTTTCAAAAAAAAAAACATATTTAATACAAATATTGCCAATTAATTAAATTTTAATGTTATTTATAGTTATTACTTTAATTCTCTAAAAAGCAACTTTTTTTTTAAATTAAAATTGCAATCGGCATAATTCTAGGTTGGTCCTGAAAATACATCTGGCATATGGAATAATTCACCCCCAAAACACAAGTCTACACCTACTAATAAATCTCAAGTGATTATATTTATTTAAAGTTATAGTAAATTTCTGTTAATTTATACGAGACTTTGTTTTTAGGGACTTAAAACGGGCTCACCCCAATCTACGTTTACAAATGTATTGAGCGAACTAAAAAGTAGGAGATCATCAATGGAATCGAACAATGGAAAGGTAATAANAAGATCATCAATGGAATCGAACAATGGAAAGGTAATAATATTATTACTTGAAAATAAAATTACCATGAATAATATAATGAAACTAACTTCTTTATGAATATTTGATCGTATAAAAATTATTTGAACATATTTTTAGAGCTTAGTACCACCTCCTCCGCCTATGCCTCCCCCACCAGATTTATGTGATCCCAGTGAAGTTAGACCATTTATGGATCCTTATGGTAGAGCTAAAACTGTGAGAATAGGTAAATGGAGATGGCCACCAGCAAGTGATGCTGTAAGTAATGGAGCACCAAGTGATATGAATGGCTTTCCCAACCACCAAAGCTTTTTGCAGTTTAAAATGTCTAAGCAACAAAATCAACAAAGACACAAGCATTCGCAAGTAATTTATTAACAAAAATTATTTCAGATAATTAAATAAATTATTCTACTAATGGGTTTATTTTTAATATTTTGTATAAAAAAAAATTAAGTTATTTGAAATCAATAATAAATTAACTAAATAAATATTTTTAAAATAAGAAAATTCAAAATATGCTATGTTACATATCCATATTTATAAATATACAGAATTTTTTCGTTTTTTTTTTTTAACAATAACAATATTTGAATTTTTGAACTTTGCAATAGAACGTTTTGAAAAATTTTTTTATTATACATTAGATTCTACATATTTAAGCTGATTTCAATAGGATTAATAAACTTTATATTTACAGGATTCTAGCCAAGACGGAGATATAAACGGCGTTGAATGGGAAGAGTATGAGATACAGCAACCTGACCCTCCAAAACAATCAACACATAAAGAACAGTCAGAAATTCATAGATCATCCTATAAGTCTTTAGAAGTTGGAGCATCAAGACCAAGTCCTGGAAGTGTAGGAAAACTGCGAATTAGTAATGAAATGAAACATAAATTGGAAATGGTCACTGCTAATCACAGTTTAAGATCTTCAACGAGTAAACCTAGACCCCAAGCTATAAATAATATGCCAGCTCCACCGACTGGAAAATTGGATTCTGATAGACGGTTGCTTTTGCAACAACAACTTGGTAAGTTTCTGTTGCAACAATACCTTAAACCTACCCTGTTTTTAAGCTTATTATAATTCTACCAACATGACATGATAAAATTTAATATTTTTTAATTAGCAGTCTCTATAATTAATGGATAAATATGTGATTTATTAGGTATAATTATAGTAACTATAAAAATAAGTTGCAATTTTAAGTCATGTAATATGAATCATATTTTTGCTTGCGATTGCTTAAATATTTGACTAACTATCATTCTAAAATTTATATTTATTAAAAAAAAACAATAATAATTTTATTTTAAAGCTGGCAGATGGGGTAGTGTAGACAGTGTTGATTCTAATAGTTTAGTCAAAGAAGATGCATCTGATATGCAGTCAAATAACGTCATACGTAGTCAAGTTGAAAGAATCGAAAATTCAGGATGGCGATTACCACCGCCACCAATAACGCCATCTAGATCTAATAGCTTTTATAATCAAAATATGTATGTTTTTTAATTCAAATTTAGTTTTGTTTTATCATATAATGTTTATCCTAAAAAAATCTAAATTACATTACTTAGGAAAAAATGCAATACTAGTCCACCTGCTCCTATTCAACCTGTAACGCGTGAATATGAACAAAATATATTCAGAAATTCAGGATCAAACAATTATTTAGATCAACATGAAATTGAAAAAACACCAGATTTCAACAGCCGCCCAGAACATAGAATACAATCTCCACAACACGAAGACACCCAAATAACTAAACTTTTACAATCACCTCCTAATGCCTTTTTCACATATAACCGAGTCCCGTGGAAATTAAATATCAGAAAAGAAGTAAGTTGTACATTAAATAAAATGTTATAATTTTTTAAATTTAATATAGTTTAATTTTTATAGGTTTTTACACCAAAAGAAACAATATCCAGTCCATTAGTTTTACATTTAATATTTTGTCAAGTAGTTTCTGATATGTTTAATAAATTTCACTCAGTTCATGGAAGAATTTCAGTTGATGAACGCGAAGAAATGTTGGATGTAAGTATATTTATATTATTATCAGACTTTAGCAATTTATAGATTTTGCATAACAATTACTCGTATTCTTGATTTAATAAATAATATTAAAGTAAATTTAATTTATGTTTTTATCAAATAAATGTTCACAGTAAATACATAAATTTATATAATTTTAGCTACTAGATAGATTTGGCGTAACAGCGAGTAATATGCAAACAGGACATCATAAAACGAGTACCAAAAGATCAATTGTTGAATTGGCTCGCTCGTGGCCATTATACTTTGCTAGAATATTTACAGTATCAGTATGTTTAATTAGTATCTATTTACCATTTATTATACTTTAATTTCTTTAATTAAATGTCTTCATAGTGTGGATATCAACATAGAGAAGTGGAATGTTTAGCAATTACACACGCTGGCCTTCATTTACTTCGAAAAGACGAAAACCAGTACCAAATTTTACAAACATTGACGTAAGTTTGAAATTATATTGATTCATGAAATTACATTGATAACTGTACTTAATGATATAAAATTAAAAGGCATATTCATAATTTACAATTTAAATACTATTTAGCTTTGAAGACATTGCTGATATTTCAATGGGTAAAGCTGGGGGTTCAGTCCAACTAACAGTCATGACTGGTGAAACTATTCCATTCCATTCAAATAGATCTAGACAAATACATTCGATGATAAGTTCATTTTTGAAAGACGCTGCACCCCTTGGACGACTTCCGCGTCAAACAGTAAATCCAATTTTGAATAATAATAATAAATATTTCAATTTAAAAAATCGACAATATACATAAATATATGTGTTCATTTTATAATTTTTACAGGAAGAAAAAATGCGTATTACAGACCATAAAGGTAAAACTTAATTTTATTAGATTTTTTTTTTATTTTTTATAATACAACGAACAATTTGTATATTAAATCAAACTAATTTTAAAATTTTATCATTTTTTTTTTTTTTTTTTAAAATAAGATGTTAAATCAATTTTTAATAATAAAGTATAATTCAAACTTTTTAGTTATATAGTTCGAATTGAAAAGTTACAGTTCACAATATCACATAATTAAAAATCCTATTTATAGTAATTTATTTTATTGTAAAATACAAAGTGATTTAGAATCTTCTTACACATAAAATAATTTTTACAACTTAAATCTACCGGATATTCTTATTTTTTTTTTTACACTATTATTGTTAAAAGTCGGCCTGGCCTAATGGGTAGAAAAGAATGTTTCAGTGCACACAGTTCCGGGTTTCAGCGAGATTTTTCTTGTGATTTTCTCATTAGTATATTTCTGGTGCAAGCTGGCTATAATACCCATCTCATCCATCATTGGCCTATCCAAGTATTATCTTTGGCTCTTTAACATGTAAAAAAGGCCACCGTCCTCTGTAGCATGTTATGTTCGGGAAATAAAATAATGTATAACTGATCATCATTACACTCTTATTAAACAATTAAATTAATTGTAGCTGTTTGTTTTATAAAAAATTTGACCAGATCATTAAAGATTTTTATTTGTTAATACATAGGTGTACCATGTGTATAACTTACGTGTAATAAATATTAAAATATTCATTGACCAAAAAATGAATTTCTTAAAATTTTAAA